GGGTAGTTCTCAAAGGGTTAAGAACAGCTTATTGCCTGTACTGTATTATGGAAAAGGAAAGGAACAAGGAAATGAAAAGGAAACACTGTTACTAGTTATGACCAACCGTCCACCAACGTAACCAGGTGTTGTACAGTCAGCGAGTGCCACAAAATGTTGGTGGACAGTTTGTCATAACTCGTAACATTTTTTCCTTTTCCTTTCTTCATCATCATTATATTGGCTCACCATCCGAGTTGAACGAATAATGATCAAATGGAGTCTAAACCTATGGCTGATGATATTATCTCTTGTCGATATGATGGTAAGCACCGTGCAGCAGAACCAGTGTGCGGAAGGACACAGAGGCAAGCAAACATATTCAGGGGCTGGATTCTTAATACTAAAGACATTTAGCAATGCGAAAATTTGAACTTTTGGTCGTGGTGATATTTCGCGAAATCAATTTCGAAAAAGAAAACTTGTGACGTTTAGCAATGCGAAATGACTTTTTCTCGAAGTTATCTGAATCTTGTAGTACCGTACCGTATATGCAGCCCAGTCTCGAGCAGGGGGCTGTAAAATTACTACTCCCTGTAGTCAAATGCGTACCGGGAAAAGAGAAAGTTGCTTTTTCAAATCACTGCATATTCGTGTCCAAGTTTTCAAAGTTTCAAGCTTTTTTCCTGTACTCATTCCCAGACTCGAATTTTCTTTCGAACTTTCGCGTTGCTAAACGTCCTTAACCCTTTGTGTACCAGCCCCATCTTGAACCACCCCTGGCCGTACACTTAAGTACACAACTCTGTATGGTCGTGTGGCGACCACCCCTGCCCGTACACCCCATTAACCCCTAGGCCCTGCCCACCCAATTCTTCCTCACTCTTTCTCCTTTCTTACACTATTATCTCTTATTGGCCACTGGCTATCGTGAGAATAAAGATTTGAAACCATACCATATGGTACGGTTCGCTGCACTCCAATCAAGCGCGCGGTCCCCGCCGCCGTAGCTCCGATCGGCCCGCATTTTTTTTTGCGCTGGACAGCTGAGATCCCGCTGAAAATTTTGATGTACGACATGGGTAGGTTGCCATTTCAAAGTATGGAGAACGAACGGGTTCAAAAGTATGCTTTTCAGTGCAAACAATTGTCGCTGTTTCGATCGTGTTCTCGCTCAGTTTCTCTGCTTGTAGCGAAGATGTAGCTTGTTCTAGGTCATGTCGACGTCTTCTAGATGTGGTGAACGATTGGAGAGATCGGCTGTGGCGATATCATTGCGGAATTCAACTCGAAACTGCAAATTTGTATCGCTGATCCCATCGCAGTATTCGCTCTCAAAACAGGAGCGAGAGGGAGGGCAGCGATGGCCTAAAATCGTCAAGGCAGGCGTAATTCACCATCCAGCGACTGCTTCTTGTCTTCTCTTTCACTTACCTTACGCTGGATGTGAGTAGATGAAGAAAAATATAGATTTCGAATCTGACACAAGAATTCAAAATTTGAAATTTTGAACCAATTGTTTCACCTCAAATATGTGACAATATGACCATATAACTGGTATGTTGTTGCACTTCATGCACTGAGACAACGCTTATGAGGTTGTTTTGTCCCTATGTTCCCAGTACACGAGCACGAACTAATTCTCAGTCTACAGTCAACTTCGCTTATAACGACACTCGGCGGGGGATCAGGAAAGTGTCCTTATTCGCGAAGTGTCGTTATACCCGAAGTCTCATTAAGTGTCACAGTTGGAAGGGACTTTGCTCTGGGCATGAAAATTATGTCGCTATTCGCGAATTGTCGTTATATCCGCTGTCGTTATTAGCAAAGTTGACTGTATTTGTTTGTGATACCCTGGTTGGTCAGAAATATGCACAATTGGCACGTATTTTTTGGTATTCCACCTATGGCCTTCATATAGTACTGCATGCTGTACCAATATCCATGCTTACCTTGGTGCAGTGATACATATGGAGTCAGGAAAACACAACTTGCATATACAAAAGTTGTCTAGATTTCATACCATGGTTGCTTCTTTGGCTGCGATCGCCCCTTACATATATTAGATGGCTGGTACATAAAGGGTTAATCACTAGGATCTTTTCAAATCCCGTAACTGATTTTAAAACTTAAAATTGAATTTTAAATTTAAAAATTGTAGCGGTCAATGAATGAGGCAGCCATGTCACATGTGTGCGTGTGTGGACAACAAAGGGTGAGTGCGTATTATTTGAAGAGTGTGAGTGCTACAACGTTTTCTTTCTGTTTATACAGTTGTCCACACCCGCACACATGTGACATAGCTGCCTCATTCATTAACCGCTACAATTTTCACATTGTAATGCATAAACTCACACTGCTGGTGGAATTGACGTTATGTGTAACCGCGAGCTGCTATTTTTATAAATATTATTCTAGCTACATAACTGGTTGTTTAAGTGATTTTTTACCATGTGACAATGTTCCACTGATGATAGTCACAAGAAAACGTTGTGGAATTTTTTCATTTGGCCCAACTTCTGCGAAAACCAGGCTTAGGGTGAAAATCATTTTTTTGAGAAAATTGATGTTTTGTAAAACGGTTGTGTCGCGTGGACGCTCGAGTGCAGTGAAGTGGAACCAAAGAGAATCTCGCTTGCTTGAAGAAGTAGCAGTCATGGCAGGAAGGGTTTCAGCAGTCAGGGAAGTCAAAGGGCTTCCGGTAGAATATTCCCTGCTACTCCTCTAGTCACAACGAAGAGTTTTTGAGCTGATCGAACGGATTCCATCTCCTTCACTCAGGGATGGCGAAATTTCTGCGCTAGCTGCTGCTTGCGGAAAATGGTGAAGAAATCGTCTCCAGTTAGAGTCGTGATGGCGATAGCGAGGAGAACCTGGACGGCATCGACCCAGCCAATCGAAGTATGGAGACACTAGCTGTTTCTGGGCCTCACGCAAAGGGAACCCGCGCAGCAGAGCTCATACGTTTGCAGCAAGTTCACGAAATTTCTGCGCTAGCTGCTGCTTGCGGAAAATGGTGAAGAAATCGTCTCCAGTTAGAGTCGTGATGGCGATAGCGAGGAGAACCTGGACGGCATCGACCCAGCCAATCGAAGTATGGAGACACTAGCTGTTTCTGGGCCTCACGCAAAGGGAACCCGCGCAGCAGAGCTCATACGTTTGCAGCAAGTTCACGAGGAAAAAGGCTAGAAGCGCAGTGTGAAAACTGTTTTGAATTGAAGTCCTTGGCGATGAAGTGCTACTGAATGCCAGGCGAATGAGCGAGCAGATCGAGAGGCCTCCACTCGAGACTTTCCTCGCTGGACAGCTAGCTGCAAGGGATTGTACGGCGTGCCGAGATTTCATTTGCTGGTCAGCACCAATCAGACACTGCAGCACGCCAGCACACTATCACTATGCGCATACTACGAACAGTGGAACAGTTTGAAAGGCTGTGTTCTTGCTTGTTTTTGAATAGTTGTACTAGATTCACCCTTCAAAAGGTGCCATCTCAACTGGAGTCGGGTTTCCTTGTGGTGTGTAGCGCCAGAGCATGCCAGTACATGTATGCAGCCCCAGAATGTGCTGAGTGAGGAGCAAACAAAATTCATGCAGAACTGTGCATGGCCACTACAGCCTGCAGCACCAAGGGTAGCCAGTGCAGGCTAAATTTTATTTTTCAAGGAAACCCTTCGAAAATGGTACCAATCGATTCAGCATGGCATTTTCATTCCTCCTGCAAAGTTTCAGCTGATTTGGAGTCATGACCAGGACACTATGGCGATTTGAAGATCGAAAAACTTCACTTTTGTTTGTCAAGAAGAAAGACTATAATCGCACACGAATCATACAACCCGTGTGGCACAATGATTTTTGAACGAAGTTGATCCGCGGACCCCGTGCTTCGCGCATGCATGCATGCATACTGCATGCACACACGCAGTACAGAGGCTTTTTTTAACGCGGATATGTAGTTCTTCGTCTTCTTCGAAACGTCTTCCAAATGCGTGGTGCTGGTGTTGTTCTCAGCTTCGTCAAGGCAGAATGCAGCTGCATGTGATGCTCCTGTGTGTTCATGCATGCTCTCTTTTCGCGTCTCGACATTGTAGCGTCCAGACTCTGCTCGACTGGAGAAGATTGAGGAGACTATGCTTTGATCCACATTGAAAATCGATGAAATTTGGTAATTATTGTCGGGCGCTAAAAAGCGCTGGGGAGCATGGGGCTAAAACTTCGTAGCAGTCATCCCTACCATGACAGGCATCGACTGGTATATGTTCCATTCTGTTCCCAACCACTACGGGTAGTCTGCGAAGCTTTCTTCTTCGCCGATTCTCGGACAGATCGTACGTCTTCGCACTGTATCTCTCGTCTCCCTCAACGGATCAAAACACGGTTTTCGCCAGGACGAACACAAACCCCCAGATTTCGCGGCGGCAACAACTTCGAGTAGGGAAAAGCTAGCAGCTAACCAGGAATCACCAAAAAACACGTGTAATACTCAGTGTGATTTGCGACAGCTGTCATTGTGCCGTCGCACCATGCATGTACGATGCACGGGAATGGAACACGGATGAGTCGTTTTATTACGACAGCCTGCACTGGCTACCAAGGGGCCACAACAAGCCTGCCCCCACATGCCTACCTTGTCATGTCACCTAAACAAAAATCATCCATGTCTCTTCCTTCGCTCTGGTGGATCTCTCTTCATTTCTTTCCTGTGATAACAATTTTGGGTTTTTTTTTGATTTTTTAACACAATACCCTGGTGTGTTTGAGATACTTTTAATACCACTATGAGTCGACCCACACTTGTAATATTTTGTCTCCTGACCTCCCATGCCCAGTAGAAGCTGAAAATGGGAAAAGTCATTTTGTGAAATTTCACCCTAAGCCTGGTTTTCGCAGATTCTGGGCCATTTAGTAAAAATTATTGTTTTATACATGTACATGGTTATGATTCATGAGTGCACAATTAGTTTTATTCATTGCCATTTTAAAAATAAGAAATGTACCATTTTTTCCGGTTATTCTGTGCACAGCGCTGAACTGTAGCGTACCTGATATTGCCAATGGTACTGCTGACAAAACCGTGGTCCAATTCCCAAACAGTGTCACCTATTCTTGCCAAGAGGGTCTGGGGATAGTGGGTGATGCCACGACAAATTGCATGGCTGATGGAAATCTCACTTCACTGCCCTTCTGTGATGGTAAGGGTTCAATTGGTTAACAAATATATATTGAAAAAGTCAGGGTACATGTGACCAGGAGCCACATCAAGGAGTACACCGTATTCACGGAAGGGACATTCAATATATGATTCAATGGTCTTCAGCATACCTGTGTCTGGCTGATAAGCTAGAGATTGCGGGGGCTGACAAGACCCGCTCCCTCAACGAGAGGGCAGAGGTTGGGTTTAAGTGTCGTCATGCAAATAAATTCTACCTTGGCCACTTTTTCCGCAAGATCACTTGAATTTTGCTAGTAGTCATGCTGCCTATTTTCTGTGTGTGTGTTTGTGTGTGTGTGTGTGTGTGTGTGTGTTTGTGTGTGTGTGTGTGTGTGTGTGTGTTTGTGCCTGTGTGTATGTGTGTGTGTGTGTGTGTTTGTGTGTGTCTGTGTGTGTTTGTGTGTGTGTTTGTGTGTGTCTGTGTGTGAGTGTGTGTGTGTGTGTGTGTGTGTGTGTGTGTGTGTGTGTGTGTGTGTGTGTGTGTGTGTGTGTGTGTGTGTGTGTGTGTGTGTGTGTGTATGTGTGCACCACCTCTTTGAGGCACCTTGAGATGATGTCCTGTGCTCCGAGTTGCAACAAAGCTTCCAATCTCTCTTGTGAGAAAAAGTTATCAAACTCCAAATACCCACTTTTTTGGAGTATGGGAAGGTTTCAGGCTGAGAGATTACCATCAATATGTATCTACTTCGAAGTATTATTGACTGAGGACGAGGTCAACATAGGAAATAAAAGCCCCTCGGCTTCGCCTCGGTCTTTTACTCGGCTTTTATTTCCTATGCTGACCAAGTACGAAGTCAATATTAGATTTATCACGACAAACAGTCCGTATTTCAAATTCCAGAACAATAACCTCATGAATCCCGGTTTTATGATTGCACAAACGTTGCACTACCACTTACTCATGCAGTGACCATGCTGCACTAGGCACCGTTCAACTGTGCAACCCCTAAGCAGACAAATATAAACAGTCAATATAGCCATAAGGAGTTAAATATGCAGGAATATTTGCCTGCTTACGTACAGCGAAAATCAATGGAAGTCAATACTAAGAGAGTGATTATATATATTATATTATACGTCAGGCGAAATAGCACGTCATCGTACATTTGAGATCAGCGGGAAGAAGATGACGACGTCCACTAATTTAGTATCTGTGCACACGAATCTGCTGTGTGTGTGACTCCGTGTGTCAGCTATGATATCATCTTCTGTGCTTCCATGCCTAGCATGTACGTCTGAACCATCCTGCAAAGTTTGAATGACGTAGGTTGAGCGATCGCTCCGCGAAATATACTTTTTGAAAGTCTCTTCATAGTATATCTTCCACCATTGAAATTTCGAATTTCTTCAAAAAAAGTGCTGAGAGGGGTGGCTTGCAACCTCGATATGGCTTGTTCCAGGCATGCTTTGGAGCCATCTTCTGTTCAAGTAGTGGCGGGGATCTGCCCTGCAACTGCTACAACAAAAAAATGATTCGATCTGAGAAAGGGTGAGACAGCGAATCTCGGTTGAATATTGAGTATTTCAAGCCTTTTCACGACGAAGATGCAGTTCTTTTTGGAGATGGACGTTGCGGCAAAGGACATGGTGTCCGGCGTCTGTTGAAGCCAGGGATCATTTGTCCAGTCAGGTCGGCAGCCTAACCGTCGGTAAAGCTTGTGTTTGGATCCCGTTCTGCTTGATGTGGTAGATCACAAACAATTTGATATCGCACAAATTGATCTCAGCATCGTGCGTACGGTATTTTATATTCAGAAAATCCCAAAGTGTCTCTGTGTGGCCGTCCTATGCCACGAGAAACTCCAATCAGGCTCCTATGTCTTCTGCCTTCATGATTGAATGTCCACTTCGTTTGAACAACGAACACAACAATCGAGGACGGCTTTGCAATGAAAAATACAGCTATGCTGGAGCTGAAAAAAAGAAGAAAAAAACGTGCTCAGGATGAGACTCGAGTACACGCATACTCTCCTAGCAGGTGAAACGCAATTTTTTTGTGAAAAATGCGTGACGCCGACTGACCAGTAATTTCGCCTGACGTTACCCAATGCTGTAGACAGCAAGCTGTTTCGGCCATAAAGGCCTCATCAGTACAGCTACGAGCTAAATAGGCCGAGCTACCAGCCATAGTGCAAAGGAGGCACCACAGACATTAAGGTAGCTCGTCGCTCTAGCGCCAGAGTGCTCAAACTACAAAAAGTAGCGAGCATTGCGCGATGCAGCAGCATTAGAGCAGCCTACTGAGAGTGCTCAACAAGGTGAAAGCCGAGGAGCGTGATACCCAATGCTGTAGACAGCAAGCTGTTTCAGCCATAAAGGCCTCATCAGTACAGCCACGAGCTAAATAGGCCGAGTTACCAGCCATGGTGCAAAGGAGGCACCACAGACATTAAGGTAGCTCGTCGCTCTAGCGCCAGAGTGCTCAAACTACAAAGGTAGCGGGCATTACGCGATGCAGCAGCACTAGAGCAGCCTACTGAGAGTGCTTAACAAGGCAAAAGCCGAGGATCGTGATATTATTATTATTTATCACTCTTCTATATCGACCTCCACTAATTCTCGTGATCCTTGACTGGTCCTATATTACCCATATCGCCGCAATATCGACCGCTTATATCGACCGCTTGTATCGACCACTTAGGCATTGTAATCTTTCGACTTTGGAGGGACTTAGCATTTTTCTCTCCCTTTCAAAAAGAAAAATTGAAAGAAAGAAGACAAAGGAAGAGAACAAGCAGGATTCGAACTCACAACAGTATGAACCTCAAGCAACCCCTTATACCACCCAGCCACTGTGCTGCAGATGCTGAACCCTGTTGTTCTTACAGTCCTTTACCCAAAATAGGCAACATCCTATGTACACTATAGTACAAATGCTATACTAAAAAGGTTAAAATAGCTCCTAAAGGTTCAAATTTTGGGGTTATGGCAAAGGAATCGTGATAAATAGGATATTGACCTCGACTTCGGTCGATATGGGAAATATAGGCCTCGTAAAAGACCTCGGCGGACCTCGGTCTTTTACTCGGCCTATATTTCCCATATAGACCTCGTCTTGGTCAATATCCTATACATATTATCACTCTCTTATTATTGACCCCCACAGAAACTTGTGATCTCTAAGCGGTCAAATATCAGCATATATTGACCGCTTATATTGACCACTTATTATTGACCACTTAGCCCGAGGACTTAGAACTTTTTCCTCAACTTAGAAAAAAATCAAAAATGAAAGAAGAAAATTCTGAAGTCAAATGCTGAGACTTGAACCCTAACTGTCAGATTCTCAGTCAAAGAACTTACGGAACATACTGCAAGTGACAACTGAAAACTTCTGTTTACAGAGAAGTAATGTATAGACTTTTGAAGTTTACTGAAGTGGAAGCAAATTTTTGAGGTCCGCAGTTTTTCAGTCTCTGGCAGCCCGTCGGTGTGGCCAAGAGGACCACTAGCAGTATTAGTTAGTTAGTATCGTGTAGTAGGGCTGACCCACCTCTGGCGGCCATGCCCCCAGCTACAAAGGCCGCCCTCAAGGGGCTCTCAGAGGTCGAGACGAAACTGCTGTGCTCCCTCCCGGGTATCGAGTCGTCTGTGATTGAGGTTATCAAGACCCTGGCGAACTTAGCGTCCGAGTCGGCCGATCGCAAGGATCGCCTCAACAAAAGAATCAATGACCTGTCACGGCAAGTGTCAGGCCTGACTCAGGAAGTTGTCTCCCTCAAGGAAGCCGCCATTGCCAAGGCAAGTGTTCTCCCAAATGTTCAAGCTTCTCAGCAGAGCCAGCGTACGAAGCGTAGATCTACGAAATCGTCGATAATTCGTACCCGTAGTACCCGCACAGGCCAGGCTGCCGCGTGCACTGCTAGTACGGGTGATCCCCGTAGCGTGGGTGACACTGGCAGTGACCCTCAGCCTGAGGCGTCCAGTGAGGAAGACAGTAATTCTGAGATCATTGGCATTGAGGGCCCCTACAGCAGGAGAGCTAAACATCGCTCCAAGCCAGTCCTGGAGGTCTTAGACGACGACAGCTGGCAACTGGTGTCAGGAGAGCCTCCCAGGTCCAGGAGGGCAGTTTTGTATGTAGGCAATTTAAGCTCAAGCTGCACTGAGGAGGGACTGAAAAGCTTCACCCAGCAGCGTGCAGTTGCAGCAGGGGGTACGGCAACGGTGCACACTTGCAGCGTCCACACCACGGAGGCAGGAAGAGTGTCTGCCCACCTAACTGTGGACGCTAAGGACCTCACCCTAGTCACAACTGAGAATTTCTGGCCAAGGCCCCTGTACGCGAGGCCATGGCGATTTAAGGAACGCACTGAGCAGCAATCCAAATGATGCCCCCCAGCCTAACGCTCCTGCTCACAAATGCCTTCGGACTGGAATCCAAACTTGGTGAGTTCCAGCACACCCTAGACCAAGTCCAACCTGATATCGACATCATCACAGAAACCAAGCTCACCCCAGAAAGTACTACGCAAGCAGAGCTGACGGTCCCTGGCTATTACTCACCCTTGCGGCGTGACAGGACTCGCCATGGCGGTGGTGTGGCAGTCTGGGTTAAGACTTCCCTCGCTATGCGGGAGCTGGAAACAATCGACGTGCTTGATCAGGAGCTCATCTGGCTAAGCGTCAAGCTGTGCAACGGCCAGTGTGTGGTCATATGTGCAGCTTACCGCCCTGGAACGTGCTCAGACACGGACATCACCATCTTTGACGCCATATCTGCGGGCCTCGAGTCGACAGCGCGCCGAAATTCGCCTGTGATTCTAGCTGGTGACTTTAATGTGCACAACCAAGACTGGCTCCACAGCAGTCGAACGACATGTGCAGGCGAATATGCAGAGGACATGTGCCACATGTATGGTCTTGAGCAGCTCTTCCATGAGCCAACCCGTGGTCGCAACACCTTGGACCTCGTAATGTCAGATTTACCAGGCAGAATCGTCACGCCTCTGCATCCACCCCTTGGCAAATCCGATCATGCAGTGATAGTTGCACATTTTGATGTGTCACCAACCCCAGACCGTCCGACCAAGCGCACAGTATGGCGGTACCAGCAAGCCGACTGGCCCCGCCTACGCGCCTTCCTGCGCGACTCAGACTGGTCCTTCCTTGCTACTGATGACGTTGACACCTCATGTGACAAACTCACCAGGAAAGTCACAGAGGCAATGAAACGATTCATACCATCCAAAGTATTGAAGCAGCGAGCCAGCAACCCAATCTGGTGGTCTCCTGAATGCCAAGCATGTGTTGACAGAAAACAACAGGCGTGGAGGCGCCATCGGGCGTCCCCTGATGATGCTGCACTTCTTTCAATCTTCAAGGAGGCAGCAACTGCCGCAGTCGCCACTCTGCATCGAGTAAAGATGGCCCACATTGCGACAGTAAGGCGCAAGATCAGCGCTGGAGGTCTCTCCAGCCGAGAGTGGTGGACTACGATCAAACGTGCTGGTGGCCATAGCAGCCGTTCCTCGGAGATCCCGACCTTGACCCAGGACAACAGTGTCGAAGTCAGGCAGAGCGCAGCGAAAGCTGAGGCTTTTGGAAAGTTCTTCTCGTCAAAGTGCAGTTTGGGTACGGATGACTTGCAGGCAGACGAGCTCCCACCAGTTCGTCGCCGCTCAGATGCGCAGCTCCACACAGTGCACTTCCGACCTTGTGCGGTCGAGCGCGAGCTCAGGAAGGTCTCCGCTGCAAAAGCCACAGGACCAGATGGCCTGCCTGGCCGAGTCTTGCAGGAGTGCAGCAAGGAACTTTCAGTCCCTGTGTCGAAACTGTTCGCCAAGTCCTTTCGGGCAGGACGCCAGCCTACCCTATGGAAGACTGCCATGGTTGTACCCGTCCACAAGAAGAAATCGAAATCTGATGTGAGCAACTACAGACCTATCTCACTCCTCCCCATCTTGTTCAAGGTGATGGAGGCTATCGTCAACCGTGCCCTCAGGAAATTCCTTGAGTCAAACAATATCCTCTCCCAGAGCCAGTATGGGTTCCGCAGCAGACTTGGCACCCAGGATATCCTCACCCTATTGAATTCGCAGTGGGGCAGGGTGGCCGCAAGCGGTGGTGCAGTAAGGGTGATCGCAGTGGATGTGGCTGGTGCGTTTGACCGTGTCTCGCACACTGGAGTGCTCCACGAGGCAGAGCGTTATGGCGTAGCTGGTCACCTGCTTGGCTGGCTCCGCGACTACTTGAGCAACCGGAACCTAACCGCAGCTGTTGGTGGGGAGCTATCTCAGCCCTACCCGGTGAGAGCTGGCGTCCCCCAGGGCAGCATCCTGGGACCGACACGGTTCATCCTGTACACAAATGACGCCGAGGACCATCTCCCTCCTTGAATGGACCTCGCAGCATATGCCGATGACACTACGCTCTTCAACTTCATCACCTCAAGAGTGTCCATACCTGGCAGCTCTGCAATCATGCAACAGGGTGTGGATGCACTGTCTCGCTGGGGCGTGGAGTGGAAAATCAAGTTTGAGCCCTCCAAGACCCAAGCCATGGCAATCGCACATCATCGCCAGCCTTGGCAGCTCCCGAGAACCACTTTCGACGCTACGCCAGTCAGCGAGGCAGGCCACCTGAAGCTCCTGGGCGTCACCTTTGACTCCCAGCTGACATATGCGCAGCACATCCGCACGATCCGCTCCAGAGCACAGCAACGCCTAGGCTTCCTGCGGAAGGCCTCTGCTATCCTAGAGCCCCCTGGCCGACTCCGAGCCTACAAGGGGTTTGTCCGACCTGTGCTGGAGTACTGTCCCCTGGTCTGGCTTGGTGCGCCACCCTCACACTTGGCCAAGCTATACCAGATCCAGCGACGAGCCATCCACATCATCGGATCGGGCTCCTGGCTCCCTAGTCTATCTCTGTGGCGGACAGTGGCCTCGCTTGCATACTTGTACAAGCTATTCTGCCTAGATGCGGACAGCCCGCTAAAGAAGATCCTCCCCCCTGGTGCCCAACGTCGACCTCAGGACATACAGCCCACCCGCGTGTCTGCTCAGCCTACGCACCCACACCAGCTATCGACTAACCTGCCAGCACGCACCTGAAACAGCTGTCTTCGCGCATTTCCTGCCAGCGCTGTGCAGACATGGAATGCTCTGCCCCAAAGCATACTGCTGAGACCCCCGCACCTGGAGGGCCTGCAAGCCTTTAAGTGCCATGTCCACCGTCACCTCCAGCTGCACCACTGGAGCTGGGCGACTGAGAGCCTCTAGCAGACCTCCCACACCCACCTCAGCCGTAGTGCACACACCGCATCTGAGACAGTGTCTTTATTGAAGTTTTTTCGCTAGCTTATATACTCTCCCTCGCTCTATGTTGCGGCACAGTAGCTCCCTTGTTCATGTAATAGCTGGCCTACTGTAACAATTATGACTTTGCTGGCCAAATAGCTGAGGCTGCAGTCACCTCACCAATCATCTCATATTTTCAATGTTCCTTTTATTTTACTTTAACAGTTTCGCAGCCTCTCTCTCCCTCCCTCTCTCTCTCTCTCTCTCTCTCTCTCTCTCTCTCTCTCTCTCTCTCTCTCTCTCTCTCTCTCTATCTCTCTCTCTCTCTCTCTCTCTCTCTCTCACCGGGTTCTTAATCCACCATACCCAGTTCGCAAGGCTGGGCGGGGTTGTGAGCAGGCTTTCATTTCATCTTTTCTTATTATTTCTTATTATTTCTGCTTTTCATCTCATTACACAAATTCTGCGCTTTTTCTCCATCTGCGCATAAAATCTAGACTGACAACCTGCTTGTTAAATCATGCACCTGCTTTCAGGCGTAAAAACCCTGTTGTAGAGGTCTCAGTCCTCATTTGTTAGACTTACCTGTCTTTATAAATGTAACTTACTCGCTCTCTCCCGCTCTCTCTCTCTCTCTCTCTCTCTTTCTCTCTCTCTCTCTCTCTCTCTCTCTCTCTCTCTCGGGTTTTTCGACCAGAAACCACCACCACCTCCACCAAAACACAAGAATGCAAATAAAAACCGTGCAGTGGAAAAACTCCGGGCTCACAGGCGTGATTTAAAGCGCCAATTTCGTAAGATCAAAAACCCGGACGAAGTACCTGCAGCGCTCAGAAATGAGTATTTTTCAATTGGAAAACAAATCAAGCGTCTTTTGAAACAACAAAAGATGTACGACGATCGATCCCGGAACAAGAGGGACCAGGATGCCTTTCTCAAGGACCCATATGCCTTCGGAAAGAAATTGTTTCAACCAACCAACCATGTCAAACCCACTTTCTCTGACACTACCTGCTTTGAGTACTTCCAACACACATATGCAGACCAGGATCGTGCCACTTCGTACGAATCCTGCCCCAGTGCAGGGAAGCCCCGGGATTGCACCCACCCAGTCGATGAGGGGACCCCTACATGGACTGAATTTCAGAATGTTTTGAAGAAGTGTCGCAACACCTCTGCACCGGGTCCTGACAAGATACCTTACATAGTTTGGAAGCTTTGTCCCTCCCTTCAATCCATTCTTTTCACCATCTTTGGGCGGGTTTGGGAGAGCAAGATCATTCCAAGGCAGTGGCAGGTAGCGTGTATCACACTCCTGGCCAAGGGGGAGGTGTCTGATGATCCTTCGAAATTCCGACCGATTGCTCTAGCGAACACGTCCGGGAAGATCTTTTTCACCTTAGTTGCAAAGCGCCTCTTGAAACATATGCTAGGCAATAAGTTCTTCGATGGTGACAACCAGAAAGGATTTATGCCTGCAAAGGCTGGGTGCTTAGAGCATACATCACTTTGTTATGAGGCGATGCGTGATGCAAAGACGGCAAAACGCCAAATTTGCATTGCGTGGATAGATTTGAAGAATGCATTTGGTTCAGTGCGCCACAATCTGATACAGTATGCTCTAACCCACTACAGCCTTCCTTTGCAATTCAGGAAATTAATTTTTTCCTACTACGACAGTCTTTGCGCTTTCGTCGTACAACCACACACACCCACCTTTAATTACAACATTGGTGTTTTCCAGGGGTGCCCCTTGTCCCCGGTCCTTTTCAATATTTGTTTCCAGCTTCTGCTGGACTCACTTGCAGCCCCTGAATTAAGTTGCCTCTCCTATGATTTTAAATCTGCCCCTTTGCAAGTGTCCCAAACAGCTTTTGCTGATGACTTAGGCCTCTATAGCAAATCTAGTGCAGGTTGTCAAAAACTCATTGCGGTCACGGAGGACTTTCTCTCGTGGACCCAATGTATGCAGGCGGCGCCGCACAAATGCAAAAGCAGTGCAGCAAAGCTTGTAGATGGCCGGTACAAACCTTACGATCCCTGCCTGACAATGTCAGGGAGGAAGATCGCTTTCATTGACACTGCAGAGTTCAAGTTCCTGGGGCGAAGGCTGCATGCTGATTGCTCTGAGCAGACCCAGCGGGAAGACATCCGTCAACTCACTGTATCTCTCATGCAAAAAGTAGATGGCTCTTGGCTTCAAGACCACCACAAGCTATGGCTTTACCACCATCTTGTAGTGCCCAAGCTTTCTTGGTCTTTCCAGGTTCTTGAACTCACACAAGGTTTTGTACGTGAACTGCACTTTATGTGTTTACCATTTCTGAAGAAATGGTCAGGCCTACCTCGATGCGCAAACTCTGCCATTCTTTTTATTGGCAGTCGCAAACGCTTTGGCTTACGCCTCCACTACCTTCCTACGGTGTGGAAAAAGTGCCAGTCCATCAAATGGCACATTCTTCGATCGAGTGGGGACGCGCGCGCATGAGGGCGCTGTACACTCTGCGTCGGAGTAAGGATGCGAAGCTGACAAAGCGATATGCGGCGACAATAGAGCTGGAGTGTGCAGAGGCATCAGTAGGTTCAGGGACTCTCCGTCCACCGTCATCTTCAAGTCATCGTGCAGGGTTGGGTGCTCCTGCTCCGAAGCAGCATTCCAAACCCCCGAGGAAGGATCTCCTTCAAACATTTGAGGAGATCAACGCGCAGGAGCAGATTTTGAGGCTGAAGACTCTTCAGGTGCAAGGCAAGTGGTTGGAGTGGACATCGGTGATGTGGCAGGACCTCTCGTGGAAATCCCTTTTGTACGGTGGTACTGGTAAGGATTTGAAATTTCTTCTCGCATCAACCCTCGACGTGCTACCTTCTCCGACGAACCTACGCCGTTGGGGAAACACCGTAGTGGATCCGTACTGTAGTTTGTGCCGTACCTGGGCCTGTACTACGCGCCACGTGCTTGGCGCTTGTCGCGTAGCGCTGGACCAGGGACGTTACACCTGGAGGCACGACAACGTACTCGGGGTCATCGTCAGGAACATGCGTGAGGAGATTCGAATCCGCACTGCTGCAAACACCGTACAAACCGAAAATTCAAATGAGCTTGACTTCATCTCGTTTTGCAAGGCGGGAGAGAAGCCAGTTCGCGTTCAGCCCAGACGAAAGTTGGTTACGACTGATCTCCTGTCAGCGGCCTCAGACTGGAAACTTCTTGTCGACTCAGTTAGTGCAAAGATTTCTTTCCCTAGCTGTGTTGCACTTACCACCCTAAGACCAGATATGGTTCTGTACTCTACGAGTCGTAGGATTGTATTCTGGATGGAGTTGACAGTTTGTGCTGAGGACAGATTCAGTGTCAGTAACTCGCGGAAGGACAGGCGGTATGCGGATCTGGCCGATCAATGCCGAGCAAACGGGTGGCAGGTCGTTTCTTTTTCGGTTGAGGTAGGTGTGCGTGGTTTCATCCCGGACTCTCTTCGGAGGGCTCTGAAAGCGCTTGGATTTTCTAATCGAAGAATAAAATTTATTTGTAATTTGTGCAGTAAGACGTCTCTGCGAAGCAGCTACATCATCTGGTTGCGGCGTCAACAAAAACACTGGTCGGAAGATCCACTTTTCTGAGGTACTGTATGTGGGGCTCCGTTTATTGAGGTGCGTTGAAATTTATTCTCTTTATCTTATTATTTCTTTTCTATAATTTCCCCATATGAGTTCCTATCAGTTGCTGTGAACACCTTGAGTGGAGAGCGCTTGCTCGAGCGTTGAACCGGGTTCTTAATCCACCATACCCAGTTCGCAAGGCTGGGCGGGGTTGTGAGCAGGCTTTCATTTCATCTTTTCTTATTATTTCTTATTATTTCTGCTTTTCATCTCATTACAAAAATTCTGCGCTTTTTCTCCATCTGCGCATAAAATCTAGACTGACAACCTGCTTGTTAAATCATGCACCTGCTTTCAGGCGTAAAAACCCTGTTGTAGAGGTCTCAGTCCTCATTTGTTAGACTTACCTGTCTTTATAAATGTAACTTACTCTCTCTCTCTCTCCCTCTCTCTCTCTCGCTCTCCCTCCCCACCAACTCTTGGTGCGTCTAGGTGGCTATGAAGTCGAGACCCTAGGTCGGCGGAGCTCCCTAAACCTCACCACCACTGCCACGATTCAGGTTGTGCGTGCTTCCCCTAGCTGCATCTCATGTTTGGCATTCAGTGGTCTTTGTTAAAAAAAAAAAAAAAAAAATCCAATGTAAACGGCATATGTACATACTATGTACTATTACAATAGGATTCCTTTCTTCCTGTAAACAAAGCTAAAAACAGTTTAGGTATGATAAATCTATTATTGCACTCATAATCGGTCAATATATGAAATGTAGATCTCGTAAAAGACCTCGGGGGACCTCGGTCTTTTACTCGTTCTATATTTCATATATTGACCTCTTTAATCGTGCAATAATAGATACTTACTCAATCTGCGGAGAGCATGCTGTTTCGTTCTTTGTGAACTCATCAGCGCAGCACAGAGGAAATGAGGCCGAACCTGATAGCAATGGAAATAAAAATTTCCAATTTATAATAATAATTACTATTATGAAACTCGGATGTATGAATTACTGTTATATTAAATATTTCATGGTTTGCGTGAAACTGTGCTGGAAGAGGAGTTTTCCGCATCCGCAGCAACATCACCACCATGTAGATCAGACCCACCACCAAGTGGTCAAAGACCGAAATCCCATTCACTGCATCCATGTGTAAAGGAAATGGTTGTAGGTTTCTCCCCCTGGCCCCGGTCACTCAACAACGCACCATTCCGTTAGCTTCCATACTAGTATTCACTTCAATATTAAACGGCGAGGGCACAGGAGGAGAAAGACGAAAAGACTAGACAGAAAACGACGACGGGAAAGACTCCCGGGAAAAGACTCAGAGGATCAACAAAGAACAAGCAGTAATAAACCGAGGACAAATCGTGACGACCAATCAGGGACTAATACGTACAGAACACATGACCAAGACCAAGACAACCAGACCACGGACGAATCACACACGACTCTCATTCCCAGACCAAACTAGCACTGCGCATGTACTGCATTCACTGGACAGTCACTCTCACACAGACGGAAGCACATCCTCACACTCTGACAACGCGTACTCCTGCATGCACCACATACCATAAACGTCACACATCACACCATACTCGTGCGTACACCTAGACCATATATGACATCAGACACTGGACTCCACAAGACAAGAACCAAATACAACGACATGCGTAAATCATAGTCGTACTACAAATTCGTAACATAGCCTTCCCCTCCGGCGAGAGTCGACCTCGACTCTCGACTCAGGGAAAATAAAGAACAGGCAGAACAAATGACCAACATCAGAGAAAAGAAACAGTAAGGCCCTTGGTTGTCGGGTAGTTGTGAGCCTGACGACCGACCGTATGGCAAGCTTGTACGGCTTGGCCAGTCCGTTGTTGTTCCAGGTATGGTGCACCAAGCAGGGCAAAAAACGAAACACAGGTACAAGAGCATTCGATCAGTACATGGTATTCATAGGAACAGCAGGCATGTAGGGTTAAACGAACAGTGAGGACAGTATAGACGAAACAAATTACTATGGCCGCCATTACGCAAATAATATTATAGAGAAAAAACCACAGGGATTGAACCTGAAAAAAAACACAGGGATTGAACCGGAAAAAAACACAGGGATTGAACCTGAAAAACACGGAACTACATCCGCTTCGCAAAAAAACGAGAAAAAAACTGTCAGGGACCGACTGGGGCGCGCAAGGGCCAACCAGCAACACACGGAAACCATAACACCCGCAAGGCAAACCGATACAACAAAACACAGGATCCCTGCAGACCACCAGGCAGACCGTGGCTCACCATGATCAGACGCCCACCCAAACGAACTAGAGAAACCCATATTAAAAAAAAAAAAATTTTCACGGTTCGCGTGAGACTCGGCTGGAAGCCGGGTTTTCCGCATCCGTAGGAACGCCACCACCCTTCAAGGATCAAGGCGCAGATGCAGCTCCTAAAGCGGTGGGAGGTGAGTAGATCAGCTCACCAGCAAGTGGTCAAAGACCGAAAATCCCATTAGCTGCATCCATGTTTTCCTCGTGCCAGGCCACGAGTTCCCAATTAACTATGCCGAAACCCCATATGCCGAAACACAATAATTACGAAACCATACGCTCACAAAAAAATTCAACCTGGATCCGAAACGAGAATCCTACAAACCATCACAGGAAACCAAACAGTTACACAACTATCCCCTCGCGCACTGACAGCAAACATACGCACACTGCAAACACCAAACCCTTTACTGGTAGCGACTCACCGGGTAAGGGGCCTGCAGGCCAGGCTGGCGAACGCCTTTCCATCTCCATGGCCGTAGTAGCAATCTCGGTGAAGTGAGTTGGTCGACGAGAGAAATAAAATATATTTCAAAACGGCGAGCACAAACTGAAGCCACGCCGAAAACCAAACGATCCCAGGGTCGTGGACTGCGGAGGCAGTACTCCGCGTCGAAATACCGTTGGGCGCCACTGTAAAGGAAATGGTTGTAGGCTTCTCCCCCTGGCCCCGGTCACTCAACAACGCACCATTCCGTTAGCTTCCATACTAGTATTCACTTCAATAATAAACGGCGAGGGCACAGGAGGAGAAAGACGAAAAGACTAGACAGAAAACGACGACGGGAAAGACTCCCGGGAAAAGACTCAGAGGATCAACAAAGAACAAGCAGTAATAAACCGAGGACAAATCGTGACGACCAATCAGGGACTAATACATACAGAACACATGACCAAGACCAAGACAACCAGACCACGGACGAATCACACACGACTCTCATTCCCAGACCAAACTAGCACTGCGCATGTACTGCATTCACTGGACAGTCACTCTCACACAGACGGAAGCACATCCTCACACTCTGACAACGCGTACTCCTGCATGCACCACATACCATAAACGTCACACATCACACCATACTCGCGCGTACACCTAGACCATATATGACATCAGACACTGGACTCCACAAGACAAGAACCAAATACAACGACATGCGTAAATCATAGTCGTACTACAAATTCGTAACACATGTTTATCTCGTGCCCGGCCAGATGTTCCTAATTAACTGCGGGTCGCATCACTGCTGAAAGAATCACTGCTGAAAGAATCCTTCCGTTTCCAAGCAGGTCTCACTAGAACAGTCAAAAATAGGGACGAGCCTTCGTTCGTTTTTTTCTTCTTCTTTTTCTAGTCTACTTGTTTGTGCTGCGCCGCGCTGGAGCCAGTCTATCTGTTGATGCTTTCGCCGCATAGAGCGACTATTGCACAAAGCCACAACACTGCGCGTTGCTTTTCGCTGTATGATTTCGCTGCACCTAGCTGCTGTTTAACTGCATTACACCACAACTCAATTTTAATACAACAGTTTCGTCCACAACCTCACTACAAGAGTCTCGTCCATATTGCACTACGCTGAGTACTGGCCTGCTCCCGCTCTGAAGAGCTTTTTAGCCTCCACTGTTTTTGCTCAAACCCAGGCATTGGCCCACAGTGGCAGTCGCTTCCTTTTTTTCTATTTCCTTTCTCCTTTTACTTTATTCGTCACTGCCTAAAAAAACAGTCGAGACGGGTTTCCTACCCACCAGTTGTTTTGGTGCGAATTACTTTCCTTCTTCTGCTCTGTTCCCCTTACCCACCTTACCCATGGAGGAAGGTGGCGCTCCTACGGATGCAGAAAACTCTGGCCTCCAGCCCAGTCTCACGCAAACTGTGAATGTTTTCATTGAAGTGTAGATTGTTTCATGTTTGCAGAGGATCCTCACCAGACATATCGAAAACGTTCTGAGGCCAAGATTGGAATAGTGATAATTTCTTTTCTTGTTCTTCTTCCCTATTGACCTTGTGTCTAGTTCTCAATTGCAGCGTGCCAGCCATACAATTTGGTATGAGTAATGCTTCATTCGTTCAATATGGTGCTGCTGTTCAGTTTACATGTCAGCATACATACTTTCTGTGGGGGAATTCATCAGCTACATGCAACGAAGATGGTACATTGAGCTCAATGCCAATATGTTATAGTAAGTGTAAATTACTTTCTTTCCAAGTACAGCTAGCTGTGATCAGGTAAAACCAACCTGTAGCTTTTGCTGAAAAGTATAGAAATCCTGTTTTGTAGAGTTGCGCCGAACTGGTCGTTTTCAAAGAAGAACGGAGGTATCCTACTTTCGCGTTGCTAAACGATCTTTTCAAATCCCAAAACTGATTTTAAAATTTAATAAGCCAGTCATAAAATGTAAAACGAGAATCGTGGATAGTTGCTACACAACTCGTTCTCATTTGTTTCCTGCAAGAAAACACCACTCGAGGGGAATTCACCCCTCATCAGTTCAGCTTCTGTAGGCAGAGGAAGATTGTACCTGAAGAGTATTGTGAGGAAGAATGTGTCAGGGATACATGCTTAGATTGCGTTTGGCTGGTCACAATCCACAATCGGAATCACTGGGAATCATTCTGGCCCGTTTGTTTTGTCAAAAATTCCGTTCGATTGGTCCCTTTGCAGAATGGGAATGGCTGAGAATTATTCTTTTTGGAGAATGATCATTCCACCTCACATGCTGGAATGAGCATTCTCATTCCGGAATCAAACATGATAATGGTTACCACGAGCCAACCAATGTAGCTACAGTTTCAAGTGCCTTAAATCATGCACTCAGAAGTACCTTGACTCTCTCAAGGAAAATAGAGTCGGGTAAAAGAGAAGATAGCCGCTGTTCCACAGTTACATGATGGAATTATTATGTCAAGTGCTTCCTAGTTGATTCCTGGCCCGTTTGCTTGGTCAGGTGGTTCTTACCAATCCCCATTCCAGAATGGTTGTCGATGACATTCTGAAAATGCCCAACCAAACATTACCTTAAAGAGACGCTCCGATTCCGGTGCGACAAACGCTTTGTGAACGCCAGATAGCAGCGTGAGCGTCGAACAAAGAACAACCATTTGATGGTCAGAAATGCAAATGAGTGGGCCTATGGGTGCATATTCCCCTGCTAGTTCGCTTTGGTCTGTTGCTAATGACCTCTTCTGTTTGAAGGTGTAATGTTTTACCTGCCAGCTTTGTTGGTTTGAGGCTTCATGCTTTCAATACCTGATAACCATGGACTGCTTCTGGCTACAGTAACTCTTGTGGAAACAATGGTGCTAGTGAAGCTTTTAAATTATCAGATCCATTCTGATTTAGCCACACACACATTAGTAGCAAGTGTTACCTTTCCAGGGGGGCAGGGGTAACTGCAGTTGGATCCCGGGACAAATATCCTGATGCTGTTTTCTGCTACTTGTCCTCACCATATCACTGACGTGTGGCGAGCCCATAAGTGGGATGATATTCAAGTCCACCCTAGAGTTTGGGATTTCAAGGTTTTTCGGCCGTTAGGCGGTTCAATAGCCACTCGAATCATCTTTCCAAGACCCCTTTTGAGTGTCTCTCCCCTCTCCCGGGGAGACTCACGTGACAAGTAATTTTGGCATGATTACGTGCAGAAAGTTAAACGCTGGCTACTTTGCCACCCATCTGTCTGCGCATATTTACGCAGACATCTAGCGATAACGTATTTTTCGAAGAACGAAAAATAACTGATCGTTAAAACGTTAGACTTTGAGACTCGTTAGACTTTCCGGTCTTACAGTAAGTAAACATATTGTTCTTTTATTTCGACTTTATATACGGTTAAGTGTGTTCCGTGTACAAACCTGCAGAAGATCCCGGCCTAGACAGCTACAGCTTTTGTCCACGTACCCACACTGTTCTCCGGGATGCATTTCGTTGGGGAAGAGTCAACTATACAACCGCTCTGAAAGGCTGTGATTTGCACAATGGCAAGATCTTAAGCTGGGAGTCCTTTCGAGCAAACTGTACGGATGTAATGGACATGAACCCAAAAACTGTGTCCTGGATTAACAGTGGTTATAAAGATGAAAATGGAAATCAAGTACACTGGTCTACTGCCAATTTTGGCTTTTTTGCACACAGACCGTTACATGTTATATGTGAATTTCGTAAGTGCTCAATTGCCTTTGGGTTTGCAGCAAATTTATTGTGCCACATTCCAACCCAGACTTATAATGTATTCCTTGGCTCAGAAGGAAACCAAGGTTACCAAACCAGGTCCTGCCAACAGAGACCCTGTCTGCAAAAGCATATGCTACTAGTTCATATCACCTGTTGTGGCTGTTATAAACCCTCTGGTTCTCTAAAGTGTCAGAAACGAACAACCCCACACGGCACGCGGACAGCTATTTATTCTCAACAGTATATTTCACTTCGATCGACTAATTAACAATGAACAATGAATGAATAACTAACACTAAAACCACCAGGTAGTTATAGCGTGAAAATGACAGCGTACATGAGAAAAGCATACACATACCACATACAACAACAGCGCACACAGCAAAACCGCACATAGCGCTGGAGCGTATACCACGTCGTAAACATCAGCGGTACGGCGGAGTCAGGATACTACTGGGTTGAAACGAACACAATGTCACAAGCGAGAAGGCCTTTCACTCTCGAGAACTTGTGGTTTCACAACATTCTCCCCACAAAAGGGCTTCTCACCGCCGTACAACAACTCACCAGTCAAACGATTTGGTGCTTACTACGCGTCATCTGCTGCTGCGGTGGTCGCCATGGTAGAATATCACTAATGCCCACCAATTCGGTCAACTCGATTTTGCGAAGCTTGCCGCTGTGGGCTGTCGCACACGGCACTGTCACCGATCCACTTCGACATGGGACAGTCGCTGGACCAGACAACACACAACCGATAATGTCGTAAAGCTCGCCGATGTGGGCACACACGACACGGTCACCGGTACACACCGGGGCGGTTGCGGAACCCGAGAATACACATCTGATTTCTGTGTTCCACACAGTCTCGCCGTTAACCTCTTCCGTGCTAACCAGTATCGCCCTGGTCAATTCCTTAGCTTCTACTCCTTGCGCCTCTACGTCTTGCGTCTCTAACTCTTGCGCCTCTAACTCTTGCGCCTCTAACTCTTGCGTCTCTGTGTCTTGCGCCTCTGCGTCTTGCGCCTCTGCGTCTTGCGCCTATGCGTCTTGCGCCTCTGCGGCTTGCGCCTCTGCGTCTTGCGCCTCGACGTCTTTCGCCTCTACACCTTGCGCCGCTACGCCTTGCGCCTCTACACCGTTCGGCCGAGACTCCAGCTGCTGGTGAGCGTCTCCGACCGATGTTGCCATGCACTGCACCGACGCACTGGGCCTTGGATCTGATCCTCCCACTGGCTTCAAATACTCCTCTGACCGCTGCTTGTCTGTGAGCAAAGTCTTCCACGCCTTGTCCGGCGTCCTTCCGAGCGAGGCAAGCAAATCTCGTTTTGCTTCCTCATATGTACTGACGCCGATGCGCTCGTCCATGAGCTTTTCATTAAACTCTGTGCGGAGCGCACCCTCTTGCCGTCTAGCACTGCGCTCTTCAAACTCCCCGCACTGTCGGAGCCTCTTCTTCACATGTTCCCTCAACTCCTCGCCTTTCAATCCTAACAGAATTCCATTGGCAATAAAGCGGGCTTCAATGATCCATAGTTCCTGTGCCATGCTCGCTTCGTATCCTGGCGTGGTCGCCAAATGTTGTGAACCCTCTGGTTCTCTAACGTGTCAGGAGCGAATGACCACACGGCACGAGGACAACTATTTACTCTTGACAGTATATTGACTTTGATCGACTAACAATAATGAATAACACTCAAACCACCAGGTAGTTATAGCATGAAAATGACAGCGTTTATGAGAAAAGCATACACATACCACATACAACAGCGCACACAGCAAAACCGCACATAGCGCCTCTAGCGTATACCACGTCGTAAACATCAGCGGTACGGCGGAGTCGGGATACAACTGCATTGAAACGAACACAATGTCACACGCGAGAAGGCCTTTCACTCTCGAGAACTTGTGTTTTCACAGCAGTGGCTTTATCTGCCCTTGCCTCTGTCCAATCACTTTTGTAGCGGTGCAAAGAAATCAAAACGGTCAATCTGAGCCTCTGGATACCACGCAAAA